AGGAATAGGTGTTCTGTTGGGTCTATAGGCTTTTAACCCCTTTTATTTCTTGAAACAAAGCCAGAGTTGAAACTTAATATTTTACTCTGTTCCCCTATGTGTCCCTTTGCACTGAAGTCATCTGAGTTAAACATAATGAAAAAATCTCTGTGACTGGACATATAGGGTATAAGGGAAGAATTGCATAGTGAAGGAGAAGTGGCTTATCATTTAATCATATAAAATAAAGTAAAAAGATGCAAAAAACTTAATTGTAGAAGAGGAGGACGAAGGATTTAAGGGACAAGGGCATATACTGCAAAAGGTTGTCTAATCCATACAGTTAATAAGTATATCCAAACCTCACTGTAAAATTGCCAACCTCTTCCTGTCCCATGCCATTAATTTGTTTGCCCATTTTTACTTTATTTCTGTGAAACTAATGAACCTTGCAAAGGTATTTGACATAATACTGCATTTCTGTGGAATCACTGAACAATAATCAATTAAAAGGCTATGAGGGAACTAAATGTACTTAATAAGCACACATGAAACTAAAGGAAAAAGGCGTTAGAGACCTACAGGAATCTATAAGAGAGTTGGGGGCTGTGTGAGTGACTCACATTGATGCTGGCATACTAGTGAAAGTGTGGTTCCTACAGAGGAGACCAGATACATGAAAACTTAAACTCTTTAGCCATCCCTGTGCTCTGGACTTTCTTCCTTCCCAGAGAACAGAAATTTAATCCTTCTTAGTACCTCACTTAAGAAAATCCATATAAGAGCATCAAGAGAGGAGCTTTTAAATTTAAAACCAATTCACAAGGGTTCCTTTTTACATATCAGTTTGCATTGGAGATAAGTGTTTATTTACAATCATTAGAAAGGAAGCATGGTTTAATAAATATACCTGATTTGGAAATCAGTCCCATATTGTCAACAGGTTGGAGTCAAAGAACTTGAGTTCAAATTCTAATTCATCCATTTACTCCTTCTCTGATTGTGGCCAAATGATAACCTCTCTGGGCCTCAGTTTCCTTATCTGCAAAATGAGGGGGTTAGAACAGATAATCTCTACAGCCCCTCCTATAAACTCTTGTAAATTATTTGACAGAGAGAGGGTAAGGAGAAAAGAAACTGGAAGTTTGATTGTTGTCTGCCTTCTGCCAATGGAAGATCAATAGGCAATGAAGACAAATCACTCCTTATAATGATCATGTAAGCTCCACAGGGAAAAGACACTCTGATATAGGAACACTCTTTCAGGAAGATCCCTGGTACAAGGCCAATGTATGGAGGATTCCTTCTGCTGTTTTCCCATAACATTAAGTAATAAGGGTTAGTTCAATAAATCAGCAAGCATTTATCAAGCACCTACTATCTGCTGGGCATTGTGCTAGGGTAAAAAAAAGGAATGGTGCTTGCTTTCCTAATGTATGCTCCATTAGGGAAGACAGGGAAGGAAGCACTTATGTCAAAACATGTTGTTGTTGTTAGATTGTTTTCAGTCATGCCCAACTCTTTATGACCCCATTTGGAGTTTTCTTGGCAAAGATACTGGAGTGCTTTGCTATTTCAACTTCTCCAGTTCACTTGACAGATGAGGAAACTGAGGCAAACAGGATTAAGTGACTTTCCCAGGGTCACACAGCTAGTATGTGTCTGAGGCCAGATTTGAACTCAGGAAGATGTGTCTTTCTGACTCCAGACCCAGCACTCTATCCACTGTACCACCCAGCTACCCCACATCGAACTATACCAAAGTACAAAATAAATATGAGGTTAAAGGAAGAAGGGCAGTAGAATTGAGTGGGTGGGGAATCAAGAAAGGCTTTAAACAGAAGGTTGTACTTGAAGTGAGTCTTGGAGAAAGCACAGGTTTCTAAGAGGAAATTGAGGGGACAATACATTTCAGTCATGAGGGGTGGTCAGTGCAGAGGTGTAGAGATAGGAGGTGAAGCTATGTGTGAGGAAAAGCAAAAAGATCAGTTTGACTGGAACACAGAGTGTGTGCAGGAGAATAATATGTAATAAGCCTGGAAAGGGAATGTAGAGTCAGGTTGTCCAGGAGGTTGGATGTGAGAGATGGAGAATTAGAAGGATTTGGTGGGGGAGCGAGGGTTCTAGTATGATGCCAAACCTGGGAGATTGGAAGAATGAATGAGTTAAGAAAAGGATTTTTTGGGGGAAATCTAATGAATTCTGTTTTGGACATGCAATAAAATGCCTCTGTAACAATCAAAAGCAGCATTGGAATTTCTAGTGGCTGGGGTTGGGAAACCAATTTCTGCATTGTGCTCAGATGACCTCTTGCTTTTCTTTTAAAACTATCTTTGGGTCAGGATCATAGACTTAGAATGGGAAGGGACTTTGTACAGGGATTTTTAACCTGGGGTCCATGGATGGCCTTTGGAAAGTCCATAAACTTATATGGGACAAACATTACATCTTCATTTCAATATAATTAGTTTCCTTTGTAAACCATAAAATTTATTTTATGCATTTAAAAACATGATTCTGAGGAGTTTATAGATTTTGTCAGACTGCTGAAGGGTACTGTGACACACAAAAAATTAAGAACCCCTAAATTTTAATTCAAACCCCTCATTTTTTGTTCTTGTTCTAAGAATGTCCATTCTTCCTAGAGTGTTCTCATCATCACCACATTTCTCATCACAATAACTCAGATTAACATCGTGCGTTAAGATTTGTAAATCTAATGGATACTGAATATTTTTCTTTCCAGTGCTAGGTAACGTATGAGAACTTGGTTTTCCTTCCCTGTATTTTTACCCCAAATGTCACAGGAAGCAGCTCCATATGATTTGAATAACTCTGTTAGTTGGTCTTGATGGACTTTTATGACTTGAGTGATCATTGGAGAGAAATTAGGGTGCTTTGTCAAGCTTTTGGGGGGAAGTGTTGATGCGGATAGGAAAAATAGCACTTGATGCTAAGTAAAACAAGAACGTTAGGCTGTGGAATCAGCATATCATATTCCAATTCATTATCAGTTCTAGAGATCAGCTCAGAAATGAAAGGGGCAGGGTGTTCTTGACTCTGGGTGACATTTCACATGAGACCAGAAGCTGGTAGGAACCATAATTCAAGAGAATACTTGAAAGTGGAGACACTCTGGTCTAGAGCTTCATTTGAGCTGTAACATGGAGAAAAGACTTGTGTTTCTTTCAATAATGAGGAAATTGAAGTATCCCCACTCAGCCCATAATACAGAGCCTGTTTTCTGGGAAAAGGCAAGAAATACCACTTCCTACAGATACTGCAGAAGACAGTACATGGTAAGGAGCCCTAAGAAGCAATGGCTGCTGGAGTATCACTTAATGTTGCATGACTATAAATGGATAAACCTATACAGATCTCTGGGGAAGAGCTACTCTTTGAGTAGGGTTGATATTTTCTTTTTTAAATTTTTTCCAGTTTTTTTATTAATTTATTTTGATTTTTCAACAATCACTTCCATAAACTTTTGAGTTTTAAATTTTTCTTAGAGTTGACATTTTCCATGAGCTCTAATATAAACCCTATTTATTTCCTTTGTCCTATATATATAAACTTTTTTTTCCCTGAGCTTTGTGAACTATGTGCTTGCAAGGTGGAGTTGGTAACAACATACTGGATAATGTCACATAATGAAGTTCCTAGATTTTCTGTTTGAGGACAGGGAACCAGAGAGATGAGAAATCTTCCCAAATTCACCCAGGTTTTTGGTGTCATGTAGGACACCAAAGTTACCCAAGTTAGGTCAAAACACATTTATTAAATGACTACTATGTACCAGGCACAGTGTTTAAGTGTTGAGGATATAAGGAAAGGAAAAGAAAGTCCCTGCTTTCAAGGAGCTCACAGTCTAACATACAAACAACTATGTACAAACAAGATATATATAGGATAAATTGGGATAATCTTAGAGGGAAGGCACTAAGATTAAAGAGGATTAGGTAAGGCTTTTTATAGAAGGTAGGACATTAGCTGAGACTTTCTCCACAGCAACATTGAAATGTATTAAGTGCAAGTATGTTATTTTCATTTTACAGTGATTTTTTTTCTTATTATCCATGTCTACTGAATGTCAGTCAAGATTTGAACACAGATCTCCTCACTCCACATTCAGTACTCCATCCACTACCAAGCTACCTTCCTTTAATTTAATTAAATTTATTTAATTAAATCAAACTTAGTCATTTTTCATTGGATTAAGTTCCCATTAATCTGAATCCATCTCCACATCTGCAGCAGAAAGTGGGGTATAACTATACTCTAGTCTCATCTCATTACATTTTAAAGTTATGTTAGAACTAAATCATAAAGGTTGTGGAATCTCCTTTGGAGGTTTTTCAAACAACAACAAAAAATCCTTTTCTCTCCAGGATGGCTTAAGTATGTCTGTGATCAAGAACATGAAGAAAAGAATAGAAAAACCCACTAAAGTCTTTCTTCTGGCCCTCAGATTCAGTGAGAGAATAAAAGGAGGAAAGGAGAGGAGGAAAGGAAAAGAGGAAATAAAAGGACAGGAAAGTCTCTTGGCCATATGGGTGCCAAAGGTTTCTACTGAATTTCCTGCATCAGCAAATTCAGGCATCTTGCTTCCTGGCCTGGATCCCAGTGCAGTTGGGGCATTGAGAAGCCGCCTCTGGCAGATATGTCAGGAATACCGCAGTGCAGTAATGGATTTAGGGAGGGAAGGAGGCCCCGTCCCTGAGTCACTGGAGGGAGTAGAGGAGAAACAACCGTGGTGTTTACACAACTCAGCTTAAAAACAAGAAAACAAGCTCCCTGGAAAATGGGAGGGATTTGGCAGGCCCCCTTAACTCCAGGAACGTTATGTTCCTTCCAGCCTGTCTTGAATAACGGAAGTGGAGGGATTTGGGGGAGGGGAGAAGCAGACAGAGTGACTGGAAACATTTTTTTCCCCCTGTTAAAAGAGCTCAGCCTGGAAATTAACATGCAAGAAATTCAGGATGATTTATACACACCTAAGACATCATCATTTATGTAAATGGCTCTTCCCAGTTCTCTTAGGCACAATTACTCCCAAAAGTTGCTTGTTTGCAAAGAAAGAAATGGCACAGGACCATCTGATGGTCTTGCCTTGAGAATGTTCTGCAATAATATTAAGGAAAAATCCACCACGCCTCTTAGGAAAAGGGAAGCTAGACTCTGGCCCTAGACCCAAGTTAAGGATCCAGTTTTTTCTGGTACAGAGTTTCCTTTCAGTCAGTCAGAGGCTATCCTCCCCAAAGGAACGACAAAGGGTGTTTTTGAGGAGCATCGTGGGAGTTTCCTAAGAGATGGGCTGGAGAGGGGCAGTGACGTTAAGTTCTCTGTCTCTGCCTGAGAGACACAGCTCTTAGTGATTCTGAGTAACCAGGGAAGACTCAGCTGGACCAAAGCTGGAGGGTGTTTTACACAGTCCTAGAGGAGGAGAAAAGAACGATGTGAGTATTTTTTTTTTTTTAACTGCTGGAGGATTTGCGATGGAGTAGGAAGACTGCTATAAATGATTAACCAGGAAAAGAGCTAAAACTATTATGGGCCAGCCAAGACGGAGGGGAAGAAGCTAGGAAGAACATTTCCTCAAGACCTCTCCACTCCCCACCCCAATCCCTCCAGTCTGAAGCCACCATTCTCCCTTCACCCATCCCCAGGGATGCAAACGTCTTGGGAGGAGCCCGGGAATTGTGGGCTGTCAGGGCTGCTGAATAGATCACTCCAAAGTGGATTCAGAGTTTCAGGTATCCAAGGAAGGAGGTAGTTCCACCACCCTATTTGTCATGAACTATAGACCCACCCAGCTAGAACTGGCACACGGAGAAGGCCAGGGGTTGGGCAGGCTGGTATTGGAAAGATAATGGGATCATAGAATTAGAGCTGGAAGGAATCTTAAAGGCCAACCCCTCTGATTTTACAAGTGAAGAAACTGAGATACAGAGGGTCACATAGATAGTTGGTATCTGAAGCAGAATTTGAACTCTGGTCTTCTTCCAAGTGTTTCTGGCAAGTGAAGTATTTCTGGGACATATGGCTCAGAGGTGGAAGGGGCTAGATCAGACTCCGAGATGCCAAAATTTAAAAACAGGGTGAGGAGAGAGTATCTCCTGTATTTGGGGGATCCATGTTTCCGAACTAGGAACCTCGAATCAGCAGCCTCAAATGCATGGAGGACAATCTCTTCCCTTCTGGCTCACTTCCCGTGACCAACCAGCTTTCGCTTGTATCAGAAGGACAGGACTGGGTAATTTTCTTTAGTAATTCTGGGTTCTAGGTTTCAAAGCCCAGGGTAGGACACTTATTAGCTTTTCTTCCCATGTGTCCCAGGCCAGGGCTGCATGAGAGAATATGAATAAATTCCAGGGAGGTTCAAACCGCCCAGAACCCTTTGAATATTACCTAGATGAGACATTAGACAGAACGTTAAAAAATACATGCTGCATGCACGCACACCCACACCCACACACTCTTCAGCCTCATCAAATTTAAAAAAAAAAAAGACATGAATGAATTTAACCTAGAGCCCAGAAACAGAAGGTTTACTGTATTGCTTAAAGCACTGAGGGGGTATGTCTGAAATAGACCGAAGACAGGAAAGTCAGGGTTGGTGTTTTCTGTTTCCAGTGAAGGTCCTCACTCTCTGTGAGCTTGCAAGACCCTTGGAACACCCATCCTAGACTCCTGGAACACTCTTGAAATTCACCCAGGTTTTATGTGCCAGATTCTGAACCTGGGGAAATAACAATCCTGGAGTGTCAGATTCTTCTTGACCAGCTGACTGGAGCCACTGTTAGGCCACAAATTGGCATTTCAGAGATGAGTGCCATCTTGGTGAGGTGACCCAGAGCAGATGAGTGCCAAACTAGCCATGGTTATTCCCTGAAAAAGTTCAGCCTGTTTATCATTTTTGCCCTCTCTCCTCTCTGTCTCTTTGATTACTGAAGCCTTGAGATAAACAGGCAGATAGAAGAGAAAGAAGGGTGGTGAAAGTAGGTGGTGCAGTAGATAGAGGGCCAGGCCTAGAGTCAGGAAGACGTGAGTTCAAATCTGGCCTCAGATACTTAGTAGCTGTGTGACCCTGGGCAAGTCACTTAACCTTGTTTGCCTTAGTTTCTTCATTGGTAAAATGAGATGGATAAGGAAATGACAAACCACTTCAGTATCTTTGCCAGGAAAACCCCAAATGGAGTCATGAAAAATCAGAAATGACTGAAAAACAACAGAAAAGAAAAGGATCAAATGAGATCATCTTTGTAAAGCCATTAGCACAGTGCCTGGCACCTAGGAGGCACTTAATAAATACTTGTTCCTTTCTCTCTTTATTAGATGATGATCCCATAGCAGAGATTTAATTATGTGCTTTATTAAGCGTTAATTTAGGACCTACTATGTGCAAGGCAGATATATATTCACTGCTACAAGAACTCTATGAGTATATTTTTCTTTTCCTCTCAGTTGGCCTTATAAACCAAATACTGCTCCATTCATTTTATTAAAAAATTTCTTTTCAATTAAGAGAAATTGGGGGCAGCTAGGTGGCACAGTAGATAGAGCACTGGCCCTGGATTCAGGAGGACCTGAGTTCAAATGCGGCCTCAGACACATAACACTTACTAGCTGTGTGACCCTGGGCAAGTCACTGAACCCCATTGCCCAACCAAAAAAACAAAAACAAAAACAAAGCAATCAATTAAGAGAAATTTATTTTCTCTTCCTCCCTTCTCTCCTACCCCATTACGGAAAAAAAGAAAAACAAAAACCAAATCCTTGCAACAAATATTCAAACTGTCAAGCAAAACAAATTCCTGTATTGACCCTGTCCAAAAGTACATTTCATTCTGCACTGCAAGTCCATCACCAGAAGGTGGGTAGAATGCTTCATTGGGAGTCCTATGAAGTTTGTAGCTGGTTATTGTGCTGATCAGTGCTCTACCCCATTTAAGTATCAGCCACCTGCACCCCAATTTGAAGCCCAAATGCAAGAACTTTCTAAGCCAGAGATAAATGACTCACAGGGAACATTGGTCACACTTTTAGGGACCCTCAAGGTTAAGAGCATGAGTAGGGCTTTAATACAATGGTTAGCATTGGAGTTGCTGGGGAGTGGTACAGATTTCAAATGGTCTCTTCCTCGTGTGCTTGACTTTTACTGGTCTGGAATAAACATAGTAATTTCATGGATGTTTGTTAATGACCCTTGGACTGACATAGGATTTGTTCAGCCATCTCCCTAGAGAGATTGTTTACACCCTAGCTTATCTCATTAGCATGTCTTGGTGAATAACTAGGATGCCTTTGACCTGGATTCTGGTTTGTAGACTTTGGTATTTACCTGGGAACTACTGCTCAGGGTAACACTTATCAGCTGTTATTCTTGTACGTCCCAGGCCAGGGCTGCATAAGAGAATATCAATACATTCCAGAGAAGTTCAAACTGCCCAGAACCCTTTGAATATTACCCAGATGAGACATTAGACAGAATGTTTAAAAATACATGCTGCATACATGCACACGCACATACACATGCATACACACTCTTCAGCCTCATCAAATTAAAAAAAAAACACATGAATGAATTTAGCCTAGAGCCTAGGAACAGAAGGTTCACTCTATTACTTAAAGCAGGGGTGATGATTAGAGAAATCAAAAGTTATGGAAAAGATGTTTTTTAAAAGCATTTAAAAAGTTTTTCTCTGAAATTTACATCAGGAAACAACAATATAATACTTACATGCATTTAAATCATGGGTTTTAGAATTTTCTATTCAAAACAATCACATATCTGTGATATATGAACTGGGTCAAATGTGCTATGACTTTCTAATACTAAGCCCATGACAGCCCAATGAACTAATCTTATATACTGTATATTTTTCTAGTCCTCTGTCTTGTTACTGTTAATATGCGAGAGCATTATTCTTATATTATTTTGGGGAAAAGTACATTATTTTGTCAAGATTTTTACATTTCACTTAGTGCCTTTTCCCCCTTTTCTTTGATTTTAACTAGAAATTTAAATTTTAAAATAAAATTGATACCATTTTACATATTTTAAAATATAGAACATTTACAATTTTGCAAATCTTATGTCTAAAAATACAATAGAGTAATTTAATGGCTTATTTTTATTAATTTTAATCTTAAGATACAAATTTAATACTTCAAGACATAAAGGTTTTGTAATTTCATCCATGTGGGTGTTCCTTTGGCCAGAGTAGATCACACCTACTTTGTAACTCAGAAGATGATCGTTAGGGGTTGCGGTGACCAAAAAATGCCCCATTTGGCCAACCTGGCAATGAGTCTCTCCTGATCTAATTTGGTCTTCAGACAAGACACATGCAGGTTATTTCATGTGGCCAATACTCAGAACTTTCCAGTGTCTTACAAAAGGCCAGAGCTAAGGAGCTGGTGTAGTGGATAGAGCCTGGACTTGGAGTCAGGGAGTTGTTGGTGAGTCATTTTCAGTTGTGTCTGACTCTTGGCAAAAGATACTTGTCATTTCCTTCTCCAGCTCATTTTACAGATGAAGAAACTGAGGCAAACAGCGTTAAGTGACTTGCCCAAGGTCTCACAGCTAGTATGTGTCGGATTTGAACTCAGGTCCTCCTGACTCTAGAGCCAGCACTCTATCCACTGAGTTCAAATCTAGCCTTGGACACTTACTAGCTATGAGACCCTGGGCAAGTCACCTCTTTCAACCTCAGTTTCCTCCTCTGTACAATGAAGATAATAAAAGTGCTTGTTTCCTCCTGGGATGGTTGTGAGAATCAAGTGAGATAATATCTGCAGAGTGTTTTGCAAACCTTCAAATGCTACGTAAATGTTGTCTCTTACTCTCATCATTGTGCTCTGCTTGCATGGCCTTCGGGAACCCAGAGGGTTACCTCCATGTCCCAATGATAGATAAATCGTGGGGTAATTCTTTGGTTACATTTTGGAGTAGATAGCCTCTAAAGTCTCTTCCATATCTGATATTCTATAAAATTAATATAAATAGAAGAGAATAACATGCCTGTTTTCCATTTTTAGATGCTTATTTTTTTAAAAATTCAGTATTTTAAAAATATTACTAACGCTGAAGAAAGGCCTCTTATTACCCAGGGGCCCCAGAAGGCCTTAATCTGAGTCTGGCTTGAGTTATTAGCTGAATGGCTGAGCTAATAGAAATTTAAATCCTTCTATTTTATTTATACATCTAGATAATAAATAGCTCCGTGAGCTGGGGAAGTCAGTCAAAGAGAGCACAGTCCCTAGCAGAAAGCCTGCACACACGGCAAATAAAGGGCAAAATGTGCACTCAGTAATATCATCTTAATATTTTGCAAAAATCCACTGTTTGTCCTTCCTATCGCATTTTAGGAAGCATAAGCTGGATGGCTCTGGGTAGGAATTCACTGAGAGGTGTATGATCAATAATTGTGTTCTTGGTCAAGGCACATCAGCT